AAAGAATGAGATTACAAAATAGTAAAAGAGAGAAAAAAAAATGGAAAAAAAAAAAAAAAAAAATGTTTTTTTTTTTTTTTTTTTTTTTTTTGTTAAAATTGAATGCATAATATTAATTTGTACAATAACTTTTATTTATCCCGAATTATATATAGGTAATGCTAGTTGACGATTTATTGTTAATCACGTATCATACACATTGTCTGTGATTTAATTGCCGAACGAGTGTCGTAGTCGATGTAATGTACGAGATACTCTGAGCCACGTAACACGACGACCGATAAAATGAATGTAGAGAGAAAAAGAGGGGGGGAGAGTGAGAATAAGAGAGAATGAGGATGAGAATAAGAGAGAACTTGTAATTGTGCCTGTCCGTAACTAACGTGCAAACATACGTGTGCACCACGTATGTATATAAACACAATAAATTTCAAATAGCCATTAAATTCACTGAAGTATTTATCGATAGTTTATTAATATTATCTTTTTTCCATTCGTCATTCTCACGTATTATCTTAAAGATCGTATATAATAGGTTTTTATCGTATGTTCTTCTGTTGTAGTGTATGCTTGATTGCTGCTGTTGTTGATATTACTGATTTTTGTGTGTTTGAATGAATGTGCATTTATGCATAGTGATTTAAGAACTTTTGTTGTAATACCTGTGACAGATATGATTACTGTTACTATCTTGTTTCTAGAGCTGTTTTATTTCTATTGCTAATAGATTCCTTCTTACATATTTTCTTTCATTATAATTTTTTTTCTCATCGATAAGTCTGTTACATCTTACAGCTATGGGTACTTTTGCTCTTGTTTCTAATTTTGTTGTTATATAGTAATATTGCATGAGGGTTTTATTCATTTGATTTGTCCACATCATATATTGCCTTGATTATTCAATCTCAATGATTGACAATTATTCTATCAGAGCAATTACTGCTGAATTAAAATACCTTGCATTTCATTATATTCTGATTTCGACTATTCTATTTGGATATCCCTCTGCTGTTTACTAATCTACTAGTATGAGCAATAGTACCAATTTTCTCTAATTGGTCACTTCCAATGGTAACTATAGAAATTCTCAGCGGCACTTTCTCAAGACATTTTCTTTATTCTTATTTTCCTTATAACATGCAGAAATTACATTTTCTTCTGGATTCACAGGAGGGTGTTAAGCACATATTAGGCTTCATTCAGAGACTTGAGATTCCAGAGATTAAACTGAAAAGAATTTAAGTATAATGATGATTATAAACTGAGCCAACTTAAATAACTTGTTATGTATTTTCTATCATATATACATTAATTATAAAAGTTTGAATGAATTGGAATTCGTATTATCTCAGTAAGGATATTGATCTAGACTTTAATGGCTGTATCAAGAAGTTTATTGTGAATATCATCTATGAAGTCAAATACTCCTCTTCTTTTCTGTTTCTAAAATATCTTCTATATAGATTACTTTATACATCCAAAATCTTTTAGATCAATTTATTCTAAATTTTTCCATTTTAAAACTTCAATAAGATAGACATGATAGAATCGAATGACTGATACCTACGTCAAATATATCACTTATGAATCATTGTATTTAATAAGGAATTCTTGTTGTGTCGTCTGTCTTATTATTATTTTCTATGCTTTACTCTTAGAGTGACCAAGGCATAAACTGCTTTTAAAGCATTTAATAGTTTATGTGGCATATTACACACAATTGTAATATTATTTTTTATATTGTGTGTTGTATTGTGGTTTTATTTTATTAATGAATATATATGGTCAATATAGTATTACATCAATGACCGATATTATGAATAACGTGATATGAATGTTGTATTTCCATATCGCTTTTATCACTGATTATTATTATTTTATTATTATTATTAGTATTAATATTATATAATTTTCAGTGTCATTATTATAGTAGTTACCTCGCAGAAATTTTCTTCTGCCTCTACTAAATACGGTTTGTAAATGAACGAGAAAAAGCGAGAAAGACAAAAACGAGAGGAAACGATTGAAACAATGAGTGAATGCATGCATACATGAGAAAGAGCAAATGAAAGAGTGAAAAAGAAAGTGCAATGCTGAAGAAAAAGTTTGATTCATAATTAATTGCATTCGATGCAGCTTCCAGTTCTTCTAAGCGGTTTAATTGCAACTTGTTTCACGATCTACAGGTATTATTACACTGATACTGCCATTTTTGCGACGGAGCGTCTGTTTGAATGTGGAACTATCTGCGAACTTTTCCATTTTTTACATTTCCAATCTTTTTATACTTTGTAACGTATCGTTGTTTTCTCTTCGTTTGATTTCTTTTATTATTAACAATTTGTTTCAAGAAAGAGTCGCATGTCGTTCACAAATGACTTAAATTACGCCTCGCTTTTTTGATACGTTCTTCTTTAATTTAAAAAGCATTATCCGTTGAATTCATTTTTCTAGATTCTTGTTTCGATTCGGGTTTTTTCCGCTCTAAATGCATATATTTATTCGCATAAATAGATACTTTTTTTATATTTGATATATATTTTTAGTTAAAAATATCTTCCCTAAAGACGCGAGAAAGGGACAAAATTGTGGTGTGATGACTAGATCGCAGATTTTTATGCATTTATAGGTAATTTAAATATGCACATAATACATATAAAATGAGTACAATGCTCAAATTGTAATATTTAGCAGATGAGACGAATTCCTGCTTAGATTCCAGTTTCTTTTTTAGTTTAGTTAATTATACTCATAAAATACCATTTTATTGCATAAATATCCGCAATCTAGTGACAACATAAAAACGAATTCGAGCGATGTCGAAACACAAGTAAGACATAAACAATTCACTTCGTCGTTTAGTTTCCTTACTCCCAAAAAATTAGAAGAACAAAGAGAACTCGTGTTCTATGAGACGAGTATGTTTCATCGTTTTCCAATGACAATCAGATGATTTTCAAGGTGGCGAGGACACGCTTGGAATACTTATTTAAAAAACAAAAACAAAAAAAAGGAAAAGAACTAATGCTATTCTTGTCTTTGAAATCAAAGACGAGAATGCAAGCTGAATGGTTAAAGTCTTGTTAAATAAATGGAAGAAAGAGAGAATGCAAGCGAGAATGAGACACGAAGAAGGCGATAGAAAAGTCGAATATAAAAATAGAGCGCGAAACGAACGATCCAGAGTGTGAAACGCTATTTACCTCCCTCGACTATCAGATCTCACGTTCTTCGATATAATCTAATAAAATAATTCTCCATTAATAAATACGTGTCGATAGTATGTTGAATATTCATAAAAAATAATTCATTCGAGAGAGAGAGAGAGAGAGAGAGAGAGAGAGAGAGAGAAAGAAAGAAAGAAAGAGAGGCGTCGATGCGTTTGCTTCCCTTAAATTAAGAAAAGTTATATCTGTGGAAAAATAACATGAACGCTTCGCTGCCTTCAGTTTCGGGTATCCTTTTTCAACTATACTCGAAAAGAAAAACAAGAAAGAGAGAAAGAATGTTGTATTATTCCCTGCGAGTGTCCTTTTCCATTTCTCAACTTATTTTATGCTTAACAGAACTTATGAAGGATTTATCGGATTATCGATTCTACCTTGTCCTTGCTGCTTATATCCGGAACGTTGTGAAAAATAACAATCCATCGAGGAAGAATTTAACATTTCATCGCAATCAAATTTTTCAAACTGTCCGTTTATCTTTAATGCTTGCAACTCGGAATTCTCAAAAAGATTTGATATTCTTCGCATAAAAGTGAATAATGAATGATCTGAATTGGAAGCTTCAATGAATAATTGATGGAGTAATAACAAGAATGATTGCTTCCTGTAACTGCTTCTCCTTTTTTTCCTAATAACTATATATTTGAATCCAACAGGTTGCTTTCATTTACATTTATATCAGTAGCAAGATGTTTAATTATAAAGTGACATTAAAATCAGAAAACCAACAGATAATGTATTTACTATCTTTTTCTCCTGCGATCTTCATATTCAGTGTTCAAAAGTGTTCAATGTTCAATGTTCAATGTTTGGTGAGTCACTGTACGTTTCAAACAACAAGGATTTAATGCGATATCTCTTTACAACCTCGCGACCTTGTGACTGCAATTACGACGTCGTTGACGTCGTATGGATTTTTAAACGGTGATTTCACCGATGTAAATTGGCAATCAGTCGATTACATGTCCCTTTCCACGCTGTGAAAATTCCTTTCGTGCGTTGCTATTGCGCGCGAGCGAGAAATCTCGAAGAGGACACTCGTTCATTGAAACATGTATGCCGTTCTTATTAAAACCTCAATAGTGAACTACTTTACTTCGCGCTCGCGATACGCCTGACGATACTGGGAATTTATTTAATTTCACTCTCCGATGAATTCGCTATGTGTCGAACACACGAGTTTCTCTAGAATTGTCAATATAATTCATTAAAAGTTTCCAGCATCTCCGCGTGTTTCGAGCACGAAGTTCATTCAATCGAGGGCGATACAGAAAAGAAATCGTCTGAGCGATGTCTGCAAAGAACTACCGATTCTTGTTCACGTTTTCATATTCTGCCTCCTTTAATGAATTGTGCAATAAATTTCTAAAAAACAAAACATCGTTTATCGACATTCTTAAAAAGGCGACAAAAGGAAGAAATCGACACGGAAAAAAATATAACGTTCCCTTGAAGTTTCATTAATTTCTTGTAAAAGAAAAAAAAAAAAAAAGAGGATACAAATTAAAGAATAATTCATATACATATAATCTTTCCTTCCTCGTATATATTTCGATTTTATCTTTGAAGCTTAAATATAAAAAAAAAAAGCGAAAAAAAAAGAAAAAAAAATACCTTTGAATATTATATGCGTGAAGCTGAATTTTGAACGACGTTTATATATGTCTGAATCTTTCTGCGTCTACAGTTGCTATGTGTCCGAATTTCGTAACCTAATCTATGTATGTATTTAAGACATTAATTCAGAGTCTCCAAAAAGTAGTTGCAACCGTCGAACAATTAGCAAACCGCGAGATGTTTGTTGAATAATTTTCACGAGCTGCCTCGAGAGACCGAGGGGACATTGTAACGAGTCGGCTGGTTGACCATGACGATATCGGTGTTCCAAACTCTTTTTCACCTGAGAATTGACTTAAAAAAAAATGTGAAAAAATTACAAAAAAAAGTAGAAAAAAACTTGCAAGTCAGAATTTGAGAAATTATCGACGTTGAGAAGTTGACTTGTAAGTTCTCTCAAGTACGGGATGAGACGAATCTTCTAAAATCTCTCTGTTCGTTTGTAAATCTAAGAAGAATGAGATCAGTATCAAATGTCAAGTATTAAAAAATATATTGAAGAAGAAAAGTTGCAAGACATTTAAATTTCATACAGTTTTGAGTTCGTGTTCGTTCTCTCCTCGATATATACATATATGAAATTCGATGTTTAATTAAAACGATCGATGAACACAAGAAATATTGTACATTTGCTGTGATCGTGTGTCAAGTATTGTACAAAACCTTGTACAAACGTATAAATTTCACGGAATTAATAAGAGCTATTGTTAAGGATCTTCCATCAAACGTACACTTGTTGTTATCGAATATTCTTAAGAATTCACGTCATGATGACTGCTGATGTAATCGAAAAGGTATTATTAAAAATGAAAAAAAAAAGAAAAGAAGAAAAAGAAATTTAGTAACATTGGAACACCATTATCGGGAAGAAAGAGGCACAGGATGCAAGTGGAATGCGAGCAACGATAGATTGTAGCGTTTAATATACATTGATAGAATTATATCAATATCACCAGGCCTAATATACTTAAACGTTGCGTGTATTTGTTGTTGTTGCCGATTCATATCTTATATATCCGAATATTAAAAGAATATTTCGTCTATGGATTTTAAATGTTATACGTCATTTATGAGAAAACAAAAAAAAAAAAAAAAAAAAAAAAAAAAGAAAAGTGAAGCAAAAGACGAAGAAAATGGAAAAAAGAGTACGTAAAGGAATACAAAGAAAGTGAAAATGACGTTTATCGATTGGCTTATAACAAAGGGGAAAGCATAATCCCCTTTATAATAAAGGGGAAAGCAGCCGAATATTTCTCCGAATAATTGTTATTTGTGTAAATGATAAATATATATGTACTGAAACCATAATTATCGATTATTGTATTTTAAAATGACTATTCAAAGTATTATTGTGCTAATATAAAGGCGGCTTTATTGGTCAATTATTCGGAATCGATGTCACAATTATTCTTATCCCTATTTCTTCCAAACTCAAATAGAATATTTATATCATTTTGTTTATTTTTTATGTTTTTTTACATCTTGTTGAATATGTGAAAAAATTGCAGATAAGGGCCATTCTGGTCAACTATCGTTATCGAAATTGCATTTTCTTTTCCTTTAATGTTCACATCTAAAAAATCACAGACCTCGAAATATTTCATTAATTATAACATATATGTAAGGAAAATACATATTTTAAATGCTCTGCGTGTATACAATATTAATCTCGTACAATTTTATTTTTATTTACAACCGTATTGAGTATTTTCCTTCATTTGTCACTGACTTTTTTAATTCATAACTACCGAAGTTTCAAAATAAAAAGAATTGTAAAACATCACCCTACATCGTTTCGATGTACAATTTATTAAATATTCGTTTGCAGAATTTTCTTTTTTGTACAATAAGGTATAAATTTATTTTTCTCTTAATTATGAAGTATCCGAAAATATTTTTTTCCTTTCCAATTATAATTACAAAATACAAAAGTCTCAATTGTACAAACGAATATTTAAAAATACGTTCTATTTTTCTGAGTACTGATTGTGTTAATGAAAAAACTGTTTTTTATTATCTATACTAGATAATATTTATATACAATTCAGGAAGCACCCATTACCCGTTCATGTGTATTTTGTCTCATTTTAAGAATAGGAAGATGATACTACATTATCAACATGTACAAAATGCTAACATTAATCGTATTAAAAGATCAATGTTCATATTTATAATTGAGTAATATGAGTAAAAAATATGGGAGATTTTATACTTATAAATATCTATATAGCATATATTCTCTCAGAACATTTGTACTTAAACATAAAAGTTTAAACTCTTACATTTTCAGATGCCTGAGCTTTTCTGGCAATGCAAGATATAGCCAATTAAGATTAAAAATATATATTATTTCGAATCTATTATTATCCCATGATTCGACTATATATAAATGAAGTCTTCTATAAACGAATATGTTCGTAATAAAAATTCAATTTTTATATAAGTTAAATAAAATTGTAACAGATTCGGTGTAATGAGCGCGTTTTCGATTCTTTTATTTATCAATTATCAAATTTGCACCATGTTATACTCTTTCCCTGAAGCCTAACAGCACAATCGCAAAACAGCAAAAACATTTCACATTTTTATGACAATTCATTTGACCATTATTCTGTTTCACTACCTTCTGCATATTTGTCATTTTTTACTTCTATCCTTAAAGGAGAGCGACCTCTTGTATGATTTCCGATTCGAGATCGAAGATCGCCTTTTAATGTACTCCTGAGGTCTCGTATTCTTGATTGCCTTTAAAATATTACATGTTACTTTCAAATGTTGTTCATATAAATAGAATATAAAATTTTTTCAATTCTTACCTATCCTTGATAGAATTATCAATGACCTCGCTTTTTACATTGTTTAACCTCGCCCACACTGTGGAAGCAACACGAGGTTTATGTTGAACTACTTTTATCACACTGCCCTTAGGTCCTTGAACTTCTTTCGCTGGTTTGTCACTATCCTCATCGCTGTAGTCTTCATCTTCGTCTTCCTCTTCTCGTTCCTCTTCATCAGACGCTTGCCATTCACCCTCTTCCTTTTCCTGGCTTTCATTATCTTCGATTATTTCACCATCTTCCTCCTGTAAAACATAAAACTCAAACTATTTTAAGATTTTTGTTACTACACTTAAGTATAATATGACATTAAATTTTTGACAATAACTACCTCTGAATCGTTAAGCTTTAATGAATTTGAGTTCGTTGCACTTGTATTTGTTACAACTACTTGAATTGCGTCACGGAACTGCGTTCCTTTCCTCGATATGCCGAGTCTGGATCGTAAATCATTACCTCTAGTTAGGTTGTTTAACATCGTCTGCAAATGTATTGTAATGATTAAATAAATTCTATCATTGTAGGGATTTCAGTTAGCAGAATTTACTGACTTGTCGAAGTTTCGCGCGTCGTTTATGTATTTTTTCTTCTTCATCGTCTGCATGCATTCGCATCCGTAACACTTTACTTCTTTTACACCATTCGTCTTCACTATCACTGCTCGAACTATTCTGTTGTTCTTCAGTATACGTAGTTTCCTTTGGAGGATATTTTATCCCTAATCTTTCCTTCACACTACGCCCGTGATCTTTAGGTTCGTTTTTAGTGCCAAACTCACTTTCTATAGCATCATTGAGTCCCCAACTTTCTGACAATGCACCCCAAGGGTTCTTTGCGTGTTTTCTATCTTTAACATCATCTTGCGATTCTTCTTTGAATTTTCTTTTATTTTGTCTAATTTGTTTATACATTCGTTTTCGAGACTCGGTCAAAATTCCTTTAATACCTATAAAAAAAAATTTTTATTATTTAGTTATTCAATATTTGGATAAAACATTTTTATAGTGTTTATTTGTAGCAGATATTTGTAATAATACCTCCAAAATTTGGATTTCCATATTTTTTATAATATTCGCTCATTTTCTCTGCATTAGGTTGCTTTTTATCAGCTCTAGTAGCAAATCTAAGGAATATTGCTTTAGATTTAGGATAATCTATCCCCTTCCTCCACAAACCAGGAGGTAATGGGCAATTAATATCCTTGATATTTATATAATCTTCATCTGTTTCCTTTGTGATTTCATTATCTTCATCCATTTCAACAGTACAGTCATTATTGGTTACATTGTTTTCTTCATCAGGATTATCATCAAGTGACTTTGTAGTTCTCTGCTTTTCTAAACCCACTATTTTTTTTGATAATCCCAACATAGCTCTAGCTGCTGACACATTGTCTAACCAGACAACATTACCTATATTGTAAATAAAGAATAAGAGATCATAAATAATTTAATGTTTTTTTTTTAAATTTGTATAATTCATGAATTAAAATTATTCCTACATGAAACATCATTGATCCATTCAATAGACGCTGGGGCATAATCTTCAAAATATTTAAAAACGTCTTTGGTACTCATCTCTTCTGTTCCTCTCATATGTATTACATTCAGTCTGATATTTTTTGTATTTTCACTATCTTCCACAATGCCCATACTAGAAATTAAAATAATTTATGTGATATATATCTTATTGAATTATTTTATATTGTTTGTCAAACTAATATTTATTAGTATTTTTACCTAGAATATAAATCTTGCTCTTGGTTTGATAAATTAATTTTTAATTTTTCTGTTAGCCCAAAGCGTTTGGCTCTCTCTTCCATTTTTAATTTTTCTTCTTTACTGAATATATCTATACCAGTCATAAAAGTACCACCACGATTTTCATAACGACTATCTAACTGTATCTAATTGGATAAAATGTAATATATTAATTTCCAATTTCATGATTTATCATATGCATAATATTCTTGTAGCTCAATATTATTAAAATAATTCTTAGTTAAAGCAAGAAAATAACGAATTGAGTACATATATAAATATACATGTTATGCATGTTCATGCTTTATTTTGAAAATTGAAATCACAATAACAAGAAAAGAAAGAGAAAATCTTGCATATCGATCACGTAAATTGATCATTTTTAATGTTTCTTTACCTCTGGTACTTGCATATTGTTTGAATTAAATGGTTTTACATCGGTCTGCTCAGAATCAACATTCTTTACATCATCAGTAACTGGGACTATTTCCACCTCCATAGGCTCACCTAGCTCATCCATTTTAAATACTGATCCAATGTCTTTTCACAAAATTACAAAAAAATCTAAAACATTCGTGAAATATGGATTATTAAAGTATCTATTTATGACATACAACACCAAGAAGAAATAACACGATAGGTTATGATACACAGCTCTGACTACATAAATATTGAGGTTACATATCCTATAGTTCTCAATGACGCAGGCGCTTCCACTATTCTAGCGGGAAAATCAAATTATCAACATTAGAATAAATAAGTACTAGTAACGCTTACTGAGGTATACTAATCCTTCTTTTATCGCGGAGTCCACTAAAACGCGGAAGTAAGAACATTTCTGATCTAGGTGTTTATTGTACTTTATCAAATCCATATCTGTATCTCTACAAATAGTAGTGATATCATAATTTTATTCTTAAAGCCTGCACGTGTATCGCTAATTTATAAAGATGATCACAGAAAAAAGAACACAAACTATTATTTAACCGGCAGAAATTGCACGTCAATATCGGAAAATATCTGATAATACACACAGTGTTAAATTTAAATTTAAACAAGATCTCCAACCGCTAAATATAATCTTCAATCGATCGAACGTCGATGAATGATCCATTTAACTTCACCAGTATTTTTTCTTCTAAATTCCGGACTGGCTTGTAGACAATATTATTTTTATCAATGCAAAGTTATACGCGCGAGATTCCTTGGCAAGTAGTTGAGATGTGTGTTTCTAAATAATTTAATTTTACAATCTACGCACACAGCAATCTATGACATAATATATGATAAATTAAAATTAATTAAGATCAATTAAGATTAATAGGCTTATTTAGATTAGTTAGATTAGTAGAGTATATTTAGAACAGGCTTTTTAAGATTAATAAGCTTAATGATTAAGATTAATAGTGTCAAAATGATTTAATCTAAAACTATACTATTTCACAATTCTTCAATTTTCAGTTAAAACGCTATCTTGACATGTTATTCTCTTCAATCTTTCTTTCAACACTTCGATATATACTTATGTACTTTAATTATAACCAATTATTTGAGATTCTAGTTGTAAATTTCTAATGAAATTTCATTGATGGTTTTTATTGTCAAAAATGAAAAGACTCTGACTAGCTAATACTTGGTTCCGAAGCACTTACAGTAGCGGCCATATACTTACGTACAGTTAACGTAATGAAATATTTATTCCATATAAATAAAATGAACAAGTAACACATATTTAAATACACATCGGAAATGTCTATATTTTTGTACATTTCTTTGTCTCAAAATTGTAATACATTAATATTTTGTATGTAAACTTTTGTTTTTAATGACTGCGACACATCTTCGCGGCATCGATTCGATAAGTCTCTTACACTTGCTAGCTGGTATCGAATTCTATGCTTCTTGTACACAAGTATATAATTGTTCAATATTTTTCGGATGTTGTTCTTTTATATATTTATCTACATCCATCCACAACATTTCTACAGAGTTTAAATCCTGGGACTGTGCTGGCCACTTCATTACACGAATATTATTGTCATTCAAAAATGTCTTCACAACTTTTGCAGAGTGCTTTGGATCATTATCTGTTTAGTAGATCCATTTTCCTGGCATAGGATTCTTCAGCAAATGGAAGTAATATATCTTGCACAATATTTAAATATACGCATCTGTCCATAATTCTTTTTATTCGATTAATTAGGCCTATATCTACTGTCATAAATTGTTCAATCAATTCTGTCACATCTACTGTTCGATTTGAATCAGATGGTAAAGTGTACGTGAGATGCCGCAAAGGCGAAGAATTTTATAAGAACTGTATAAAACTGATCGTAAAAGGTGGAAGTGGATCAGTCCTCGTGTGGCGCTCTGTATAGATAATACGGGCCCAATTGTTTATTAATATGCGTTGTAATCTTGTGAAAAATATAGTTGATATTTGTTTACTTGTTTATTTTATTTGTACGGAATAAATAATATTTCATTATGTCAACCGTACGTAAGTATATGACCGCCACTGTATATACTAGTGATAAATTAAGAAGCGATCGCGTCTATTAACACAGTTTGTTGCTAACATCGGTTTAACGTGGACATATGATTACGTCGAGCGAAGAAGAACTTTTATTCTTCTTCAGTGATTCTAGGAGAATCGTTTGGATCTTCTTATAATTGTGGATCATTGACAGTGATTTTTATTATAGAAAAAATTAACTTTCTTCTGTGTCTGTGAACAGAGTGATTTCAATATGCCTGAAAACGGAATGCAGATGACCGAGGTGGTAAGTGATTAAAAAAATGGTGTCTGATGATTATTCTTTGTTTTCTTTATAACTGATTGTTTGAAACTTTTATAATAAAAGAAAAACTTCTATTGTATATCTACTTCGAGCGTCAATTGTATGAAAAATTTAACGTGGTATGTGTATTATTTCTGGAATATCCAATTAGACAATTCTAAACTTTAATGATGGATTAAAAGTATGCAACATAACTCTTCATTTTTAATACTGTGTATTTCAATTTAGAATTAATAGTAAATATTCTTATATATAAAAGTTTAAAATAAAACATAATATATTAATTAATTTAAATTATACTAACATTGATAGTTGCTTTCGTAAAGACATTTTCAAAAATTAAAAAGAATTTCAATGTGTAAAAGTACACCCTATGATTTCTATTCTCCGGAGAATGCTTATATGATCAGACGAATAACATCAATGTTTCTCATTGTCAGACTTATTAGTCTGAACAAATTAACACTATCATATTGGGTAATATAATTTAAAATACAATATTATTACACCATTATTATTACACTTTTTACATCTAATTGTGATAATTAAAATATCGCTATGTAGATTATAAAAATTTTCTGTATAAATGTATTTTTCTCTTTTATACAGATGACTGAGAGACACTGCGTATAATAATAACACGTAAACTTGATAGTAAATGACTTTGATGGTCGCGTTACTGAAAAAGGACAGTATTGATATATATATTTAAATTCTAATCGAGCCTTAACACTGGTTACGTCTTGGATCTAATAAACTATGATTACACATTCAAGATTGTGAGATACATTTCATTTTACCAGTGAAAAATGTAGATCTCCCACTTGATAATCTGAAATTCCAATCTGGAATGTTGAAATTGCGTTATACTACATTTTCTGGAAAATAATAATTGAAGTAATTATTGATAATCGACGGTAAAATAATTTAAAAATTTAAATACCGATAGAATATCCAAACGGCAAAATAAAAAATTAATTAAAAAATATTTAAAATATTTACATGAAAAAATTCTTTTTCTTTAATTTAATTATCTTCCTTTTAATTAATCCTCTTAACGAGCACGATGATACAATTATTTCTGTCCAGTTAGTTTTCCAACATAATTATGTTCCCGAGTTTCTTATTATTACAACAAATATACTACCATGCCGGTCGTACATTAGTGTTAGTTATTTTCTACAAAAAACAGAAATTATGATTTCATTAAAAATTCCTTGTTAGAAAGAAAAGAAAAAGAAGATAAATCATAGCATCGTAAAATCTAAAAGAGGTCAGGAGTAATCTGTCAGAATTAATATTCTATGCAATTTCAAATATTTTCTAAAATCAAGTAGTTTTCTTCGTCTTCATTTCTTTTACTTTTACGTCACATCGAGGTCATTAGCGACAACGGTGTCTAATCAAATAATTATTATGTACTGTTTATTTTTATTATTTCAGAATATAGAGAATTTCACACCGTTGGATACTAGTCGACCAGAGAACGAAAGAAATACGAATCTCACTTATGGCATCGACGACATCCCGCCATGGTATCTTTGCTTATTTATGGCTTTACAGGTACTTTTACAAATTAAACATGAAATATTTCTTATAGGAAAAGAACTATTTATATATACTTTATGTCCAATATTAAAGAAATTTGCAATTAATTTAATCTCTATCTACTTGGTTTACAACAGAAATAAAAAAAATTCCTTTTTTCTTTCAAAAAATTCCACGAAATACAAATCCCTTTTCTGGGTTATAGAAAAATGTAGATATAAATCAAAGCTACTCATATTTCACGGAAATATTTGAGATAAGTACGACAAAATTTATCTTGATATGATAGGATATCTCTTCATCTAAATTTGGTTTAAAATTATGTTATTAAAGTTATTTCAGAATCATTAAATCTGTTATTCCTTTTATCATTCATATTATCTATAAAAGGAATAATATATTTTTCAGCACTATTTGACCATGATAGGTGCAATAGTCTCGATTCCCTTCATCCTTACTCCTGCATTATGCATGGCAGAAGACGATCCATCGAGAAGTTACATAATCTCCACTATGATCTTTGTCACAGGATTCGTCACCTTCATTCAAACTACCATAGGATGCAGGTAATTTAGTTTCGAAAAGTATCAGTCTGAAAAGTATAAATTTTTAAATAAATTATATAATTCATTTTTAATTTTATTTATATTTGATTTAAATTTATTTCAAAATTTAATTTATATTTAATTTAAATTTATTTCAAAAGTCTTGTATATAGCTTCTTCAACTTCAAAAGTATTTGAATCACTAAATTACTGCGAATCGTTTTAAAGCATTAAATTGATAAGTGACGCTTAATAGGTGCTAGAGCAGACACGAGACTATCTTTGTAACTATGAAACAATTATATAAATGTTGAGCAATTTGCTACGAATACAAACATCATAAATTGTGTCTCCTACATACTTATCATTGCTATCAATTTTTTTTTTAATTTAAATTGCAACATTCCATTAATTTTTGCAACTATTGCAAACGATAAAAAGTTAATAATTTTTACTAATAATTCTAATTAATAATTCTACAATAAATCTTATTGTATCAATATCTCAATATTATTATAATTATCATGTAATAATAAAGGATAATATTTATAAGTAACTGGAATATTTACAATATGATTAGAAACGCCATCGAAATGAATGTTACGAATGTAATTTATAGATGTACATGAATTTGAGGATCAAGGCTGAATAGTGAATTATCTTTGCAGTCGATATTTATGCGTGTTTCATGCCTTGATAATTCGTGTCTGTATCTTATTCTAATGCTAATCTTCCTGACTTTATTACTGTTGGATTATTTTGTACTCTTGTTTAACAAGATTTATGGATCGTTAGCGATATTCAACAACTTCCGGGAAGAAGTAACATTTACTTCGAATTTTACTGATTTAAAATTATTACGAAATCATTAGAAACCTATCTTTATAATCGTAGATTACATTATTTCTTCAATTTGACTTTTAAATTGTGTTGATATATATTCCTTAGATGTTATATTTTGTATGTTATATTTCAATGCATGATATAAAAGTTATATTTCAAATATGTGATATTTCAATAATCTAATAGCCTATAATATAAAAATTCGATAATATGAATATGATATTTTCGTCGTAATTTTATAGACTCGATTTCATATTGTTTTAACTAAATATTATTCTTACCGATTTAAATATATCACGATTAGTCGATAATTACTGATTACTCAATGTAATTGCTGAAGAAACTGATTCTTAAAATATTCTGTTTCCAATATTCATATCTTGCCGTAGATTGCCGTTAGTTCAAGGAGGAACCATCTCCTTTTTAGTCCCAACTTTAGCCATACTAAATTTACCGCAATGGAAATGTCCACCGCCGGAGATTTTGGACCAAATGTCTCCTGAAAATCGCACTGAATTATGGCAAGTTAGAATGAGGGAACTTTCAGGAGCCATTGCTGTATCCTCTTTATTTCAAGTGGTCGTTGGATTTGGAGGTATTGCAATCATATTTAAGGTATTCTTTATAAGGTATTCTTTATAATATTAAATTTTCCTTGCTTAACAGGTATTATCGGATATTTATTGAAATTTGTTACGCCACTGACTATTGTGCCAACTGTGTCTCTTGTTGGAATATCTCTCTTTGAGAATGCAGCTGATGCTGCGTCTCAGCATTGGGGTATAGCAGCTGGGTAAGCTTACCTTCTTCAGCTTTATAAAGCAATGATGTTGCAGCTTGTTTTACTTCGATAATGCTGTTCAAATAATTTAATTAATGAACTAATTAGTGTTCTCGACGAGGAAAGTACGACAAGGATAATTTCTTATTTATCGATCTTGCAGAACAATATTGATGTTAACGTTGTATTCACAAATACTTGTTAATGTACCATTTCCAATATTGGTATACCGTAAGGGTCAGGGAATAGGAGTCCGGTGGTTCGCATTATTTAAACTATTCCCAGTAATTATTTCATATATTTATATTTTGTATCTTTCACAGTTTTTTTCATTTAAGTTTTTATCTTTATTTTTTTTATATTAGGTACTGTTAACAATAATAGTTATGTGGATAATTTGCACAATTTTAACCGTGACCGATGCTTTACCAGTCGGTCATCCAGCTAGAGCAGATAGTAAATTAAAGATTATCAGTGATTCTCCGTGGTTCCGAATCCCATATCCTGGTCAATGGGGTATACCGACTGTAAGCCTGTCTGGTGCGCTTGGTATGTTGGCTGGTGTATTAGCGTGTACAGTGGAATCTATCAGTTATTATCCAACAACATCCAAGATGTGCGGTAAGATCTGCAGATCTGCAAATACAATTAATAATATTTATGAATATTTTTCGAAAAATATATTCCATTTAAAATCAAAATATTTATATTTTTTATGTATATTTAATTTACGTAACATATTATAGCTTTCGAGATATTCAAAATAAACAGGTTCTATTTCATTCCAATTTCAATGTAGTTGAAAATATAAATGTTTAAAAATCTGAAGATTAAAAAGATATTGAAGATTACTAGATTTTAAGATATTTGATAATTTGAATTTTCTAGCTAAAATTTTTTGAAATTTGACTTTTAGGCGCTCCACCTCCTCCAGTTCATGCCATTAATCGAGGTATCGGTATAGAAGGATTTGGGACAATGTTAGCTGGTCTCTGGGGCAGTGGGAACGGTACAAACACATTCGGAGAAAATGTTGGAACCATTGGTAAATCGTTTAATATTTCTAGAAAAAAATATCAAAGATTATGAGTCACATTTTTTCTTTTTTCTTTCGACTTGTAAGTTTAATGTTCTTAAGTCACTTTAAACGAAACATTATCAGGCGTTACGAAAGTGGGTAGCCGCAGAGTTATTCAATGGGCATGTGTTCTGATGATTCTCCAAGGACTGATTAGTAAATTTGGCGCCGTTTTTATCATCATCCCGGAACCAATAATCGGTGGAATATTTTGCGTGATGTTTGGAATGATTAGTGCCTTTGGTATATCGAAATCTATTTCTTTAAATACAATTATTTTACAGCGGAAATAAGAGAAAAATAAGAGATATGATATTTTCAGGTCTCTCTGCATTACAGTACATAAATTTAAACTCAGCAAGGAATTTGTACATTCTTGGGTTCTCCATTTTCTTTCCACTGGTAAAATAATTCTTAATTAAATATATTCATTAATTATATTTTCTTGTTAATGTTTAAATTAACAATTGATTATGCACATATCAATTGCACAATTGTTGAAAGTCGTAGTTGTGCTTGACTTGCGACAGTAATTTAAATTGTCCTCATGAATTTTCAGGTTTTATCTAAATGGATGATCAATCACTCAGGCGTAATACAAACCGGAAACGAAATAGCCGATGGAGTAATTACCGTATTACTTAGCACGACTATCTTGGTAGGGGGTGTAATAGGATGTGTATTAGACAATATTATACCAGGTGAAATTTATATAAAAAGTATTATTTTTAATTAATCTTTTAAGGAGATCAATGACGCAACGGCTGCGCCGTGACACGCCTAGACAAAGTGATATGTGACATTAAAAGAAATGTCAATTCTAAAATAAAATATGCAGTTTATGCATTTATGACCACTACTAATTTTTTTAAGGTACACAATAAAATATGCAGTTTATGCATTCATGACCACTATTAATTTTTTTAAGGTACACTTGAGGAACGTGGACTCATCGCTTGGTCAAAAGAAATGGAATTAGATATTGGAATAGACGAGAAAAAGGACCAAGAATACGTACCTAATACGTTCGATTTTCCGTTTGGAATGGATGTTTTACGAAGGTAATTTTCTTTCCAAGTATCTTTTTTTAAATTTGTACATCTTTCAAGTGACTTCAAATTTACATCATTTTCTTCTTGCAGATGGAAATGGACACAATATGTACCATTTTTACCGACATACAAACCTGGAATTTACTCATGTGATCAGAGGAAACAATGAGTACTTTTCTGATTTTACGTTACCTGATAATTCATTGATTATCACCGTGAGGAGACTCGCGAATTATGATACATCAGTGTATACATATACGATAAATAAATATTGAATGAGTCGCTTTGCGAATGATGAATTGTTAATTGAGTGCAAAAGAAGATTATATCGAAATGAAAATAACAGAATTCCTATGTAAAAACAATGAATTTAATTTTTTATTATCTTTATCTGTAATTTACATTGAAAGTATAAAATTCATAAAAATTTAGGAAATTCTAGGGAAATAATTTCTAGTAGTACAGCACTGTACAGAAAGAGCTCAAATAGTATATATGGCGCGAAATAGTCGCAAGTCAGTTAACGTTGTTTAAATGTTATTTCTAACAATTCGCGCAAAAACGAATAAATACAATCATGGCTGCATCATCAGACGTTGCTACGGTATTGCATACGTGTATTATATTTTTATTAATATTTAACTTGCAAATTTAATTGTAACAACATAACCTATACCTAACTCAAGATGTTTCGACCGGTTTGTTTAAAAAAACTCGACAAAATGTCTATTTATCAGAATGATACAACTTATCTTGTAATAATTAAAAATGTATCACTTTTTATAAATAAATTTGTACATAAAATATTATGTAAGATGTTTTATATTTGTGTAACAGGAATCTACGAATATATTTCGCATTCTAAATAAAACATTGGTTTTATATGTATAACATTCTTTTAAAAATTCTGTTAACATTTAAATTTGATTCAAATATATAAGTCCATTCTACAAAGTATATATGATTATCTAATTTAGTTTATTAATTAACATACAGATCAAATTACAAAGATACTTGAACATGCCATTGGTTCAAAGATGCAAGGAAATAGCGACACTAATAGACGAATCGAGCACAGCAGAATTACAACACGTGTTTTCAATATTAATAGACTCATTATTTGGAATAACTGATAATATCGGTTGGGGATTACATAGCATCACTTTTAAGAAATGTGCATATGAGTACGAAACACTTTGTAACTTCCTTAATCCACAAGGACCAATTTTTTTTTTATGTTATAAATTATTGCCAGACTGTTACTTGAAATACAATTTTCCAGTTTCATTCTTACCAGTATGTAAAAATATCTATATATTATTGGTAATTATAAAATGAACAAAGATTAATTTTTGTATTTTTTGTTTACTTTAGATAAAGGTACGTTCAATGTTAGAAGAAGGAGTAATACCACCATTTTATTTAGACAAAATCAGAGACGATCAGGGTACACGTGGTATATCTGCATTAAATATGAGTATCCTTTTGATATCTCAACTTAAAATGATTTCATAAAATTTTTTTTTAAATTTGTGCAAGATAAGCCCTTAATAGTTATACATATCCTTTTGAATATTACATCTTCCATTTTGCATATCATCTAACAAACCCATGGTTGCAAGTGCAACAGCAAGAGAATGTGTGGGTTAATTGGGAAACTGTTTATGTCCAATTAGCACATTGTTATTTATACCATTTTCTACCTAGGGATAGTTCTTCAGTTTTGCCAATAATTAGCCCATACATTAGAAAAACACCTCAACGAAAATTGGTCCAGTCACCTGAATCTAAGAGGTATTTTTGGAACATAATAAAAGATATATTAAGAAGAGATGAATCAATAAAATTACACATTTTTAAAATTAGACAAGTCAATTTTCAATCAGAAATTATTACAGAATGCAAACACCACGACTATTGAGAACGTCAATATTATCACCAGGATCTTCGAATTCTTCCTCGAGTGTTCCACAACAACAATGTTTACCAGAAGTTTGGAGAAGTGAGACTGTAGTTCAAGTATTTCTTGATTTTTGGGTAGAATATGTAGAGGATCATCAATTAAATCTACGATTAAATACATCGTATTCTGCATCCATTCCGCGTCGAGTAAGTTTATATTTGAAATTTTTTCATTATATATATTTATTTATTTATTTATACATTAAGTAAGTTTATATTTGAAATTTTTTCATTATATATATTTATTTATTTATTTATACATTAATTATACAGCACAGCATTCATTCCGGAGAGCATATACGTCTAGTGCGGGCATTTATAAAAACTTTACACGAATTTGCAAATAGCGCAACGGGTGATAAAAGTGCGATGGATGAACTTAAACGGTATATAAATATTCAGAAAAATATTAAACAATAGTTAAATATTATACTAGCCCCATGAAATATTTTTTATATTTTATTTGCAGAATTATTTTACCATCTGTTCAAGGTAAAATCTACACATTCCTTCGAAAAGCCATACATCATTGGCCACTAGATAGCTCTTTTAGATTAATTCTTGAAGCTTGGTTAAGCTTTATTCAGCCATGGAGATACTTTTCTGGTATTACATTTAGCAAGGAAGGGTAAATAATAAAACTTTTGTTTACTTATTATTATAATGTATTATTATTATAACGTATTATTAGACGTTAATTTTATCTTTCTATAGTAAAGCCGAAGAAGAAGAAAGAGGGAAGATACATGATGCATATAGATGGATGCCTTTCATCGCTCATAACTTGTTAGCCTACACGGCAATATTTCAACAACTACTTCCACGATTTATGAGAACAGATCTCATAGCTCCAAAGAATGCATTGATGTTATTCAGAATTACGAAAGTATGTTAAGCTCTTTCAGACATCTGAATTGTATGTTAACATATATTTATTACGCTTATACTTTTTAGGTTTTCTCGCAACCATATTTAGCAAAGATAATATGCGAAATAGAAAGTCACATGGACGATGTTGGATTAAGCAGAAGTCGAGTATCAACAAATCAATGGGCTTCAATTGTACGGCAGCAAATTTTAGAGCTCGAAGGACCGACATACCAATATGTTCTAATGTTTTCTATGGCTACTATTTCACAGGTATGCAATGCGAAGTGTATATTTCAGAAACGTTTATCTTCAAATTCCTATTTCAGGTCGTATGTTTATTAAGCACAATTAAACAAGCACATTTGACAGCAACTAGTTTGATCGATGCATTAGAAAAGAAAAGAAAAAAGAGGCCATTTTTATTAGCGTTATGGGAATTCTTTAATGGTGAAGATTATTCTTCAGATGATATTAGTATAGAGGAAAGACGTCGCGTACCTGTTTATCTAGCGAATGCACAACAACAATTAATTGAAATCTTCGAGGTAATATAACTAACAAATCCTTCAATTTTGTAATATAATGTTTAATTATAATTTGTAATATAATGTTTTCAGATTAGAGTAGAAGACATTCCTCAAGTAGCTATTGAAGCTGATCAAGAATACCATGAAAGCATTCTATCAACATCCTTTTGTCACCAGTCACAAGTATAAATTTGATTATCTGTGTAAAAATTCTCATTAATAGGAAAGTTCTAACTCATTAATCTTTTAGATGGATTTCAGTTTAGATACAAGTAAACCAGGTATTTTTGTATCTGATCAAAAAGATAGACAAACGTGTAAATATATTGAGTACATGGGAGATCCGGAATTACAACCAGTTCGAAGTAACGAATGTGCATTTCTTGTTAGAAATTTATATAAATTCTGTACATACATAAATGTCAAGGTAAATACGTCTTTAAGAATTATCCAGAATAGAATCATTGAGTTTCGTTATTTTCATCTCAACTGTTTTTGTAATTATATAAATATCTATCGTGAACAGTACCGATACAAGATAACTCAAATGTACCATCAAAGTAATTTTCTTGGTAATATTTCTCGACAAATATTACAATCACCAACGAAAGTCGTGAAGCTACCAAAGCGAACACAGACTGGATTTTCCAGTGGGCATGAAGAACGCATTCCGCCTCGATTGAGTTTACGGCCTTTAGCTAATTACAATCTACTTGTAATCATAAGCCTTGGAACATTTATTGCTTGGTTTACAAAGTACGAAACATTCTTAATTTAAGCTACGATTACTTTTAGTAACCAAATAAATAATGGCAGTGATGTGACACCGAATTATTTGCAGCTATGGAGTCTTTATGTTTTTTGGATTTGTCTTTATTCTATGGTTCGTATACATAATAATACGAGCAACGTTGGAGCCGTGGACACGATCGACCACATTCAGAGCTAATACATTTTCTATAAATTGATTCTATAATTGATAAAACTGTTGTATATTCATGAAAATTGATACAATTTCAAATGTTGGGATATCAAATATCCAATAGTCAATACAAATTTTAATTTTTAAAGCGTCGAATGTAAATTAAAATTCATTTAAAACAGATTATACATTTTTTTAAAAATATATAAAATTGTCATTCTTTAATTTTTTCCTTTTAAATGTTATATACATGATTAATTATAGATTAGTTACAATTTACAGACGTACGATATTTTTACTGGTTTTTAATTATGTATGTTAATACATACTCTGTCTAAAGTGAATATGTCTGTCCTTGTCGCACGCTGTTGCTCTCCTTGTCTTCCACTATTGCTTTCCTTGTCTATCGCGCACATATGTCTGTCCTTGTCGCACGCTAGTCCTCTCTTTGTCTAATGACGCTAGACAAGAAAAGCAACAGTGTGCGAGAAAGACATCCTTCGATCTATTGAAAAAAAAATTCGACTTTTTACACACACGTTTTTCTACGACGAAACACACATAGAAAGAAAGCGGGGATACTCATTTTAAGGAAGCATATAAAAAAGTTCGTAAATTAATCCTTTTAATTAGGTTTTTTTCGTAATTAGTGCGAACTGTCAGAAAATGGATATGGTGGCGCCATCTAGCGGTAACTCAGTGGTACTAATTATTTATAAAAATACTTATTTCTGCATTTTACGAGTCAAATGGGGTATGAAAAGAAAGCTAAGGGTCTAATTATGGTAATATAATCACAAAAGTTCACAATTCATTTCGTTAAATTAGGTTTTTTCGCAAATGAAAATTTCTCTGTTTTACGGGGTAAGAAACACTAGCGCCGCGGAGGTGGCGCCATCTATTGACAACTCGGTGGTACTAAAA